CGGGGCAGTCGCCGCGACGCGCCAAGCAAAAGTCCCCGGGAGGACGAATTTGGCGTCGCCACCAGTTGGCAGTGCCAGAAGCACCGCGCATCGGTGCACGCCTGCTTTCCTCCCTCTGTCCACCTCTCTCCCCGTTCCCTCTCTCTCGCTCGCATCCTTTGCTCACGAGGCGTCGCCTCGCGACCCCCCCGTGGAGAGTGGAGAAGCCAACGGAAGTTGCCACGTTGAGGCAGGAGCTGCGGCGACGGTGTTCGGCGTGGGCACGCGGGTCGCGGATGTTTCATGAGCGCGGACGTGTTGATCCGGGAGTCTCGGAGGCTTATTGGTGCCGCGTTGGGAGCATGGGGGGCTCTCTCGTGGCCCTCTTGCTGGCCACGTGGGCCCTGTTAGGGTCGTCTTGGAGGGCCTCGATGAGAAAAGGGGTGGTGCTCAATTTGCGCTGCAACTTCAACAGCGGAAGCAACTGTTCTTGGAGCCCTCTAAAGTGTGCTCTTTAGGCATTGTTGGAGGCATGTCGGCCCGTTTTGGTGTACTTCTGGCCCCTCGTGGGGCCTTCTTGGTCGATCTCGGAGCCCTTCTGAGGCATCAGGAAGCCATTAGAAGCGAACAGGCGAGACGGCCAACATCACTCCATGTGGTGAACTGGCTGTTACCATCTCGGGGGCATCCCGGGGAGGCTCCAGGGCAAATTGCAGGTGCTTCTTGGACACAGGCGTCAGCGCCTGGATGTGGGATTCTCTGGGGCCTCTGAGTGTGTGTGTGTGTGTGTTCGTGTGTGGATTATCGTGTTCTTTGCCCTCTCAGGGGGGCGCTGCTTCAATTTGCTGGTGGACCTCTGGGGAGGGGGGAATGGGTAGGGCCCCGCCACAGCCAAACAACCCATGCGGATGTCGGGGTCTCTCTCTCTCTCTCTCTGTCTCTCCCCCTCCCTCTTGGTCGCTCTCCCTCTCCCCCTCTCAACCCGCCCCCCCCCCTCCCAGGAGCACCACTAGCGATGGCAGAGTTTCCGCCACGAGCGGTGGCAGAGCCCTTCCGAAAACTAATAGCAGAACCACGTTTGGAGGGTTTTCATCCCTGGAGGTTTGAACGACCCTGCCCCCCCCCTTTAGCGCCTCCTTAGTGGGCCTGGCTTACTGTTCGATCTTCAGCTCTCGCTGAATACGTCTTTCTTGCGCGGGGCTGGTCTTGGTTCCCCCCCGGCCCTTTTCGTTTTGCTAGTCCAAAGATCATCCTGAGCCATAGCCTCGGGAGCGCTCGGGTGCCACAGGCTAGGGCTTTCTCACTCAAGCACTCACGGCGGGAAGTGCCAGGAAATGGGATGCACGTTGGTGCGTGATGTTCATATGCTGGCATTCTGGGTCGCTGCATCGCCCACGTCGGCCCAAGATGCCCCCCGCGATCGCCCCAAGACGGCCTGGAGGAGCCCCAAGACCCCAAGAGAGCCACGGGAAGGGACCACGCGGGTCCAAGAGCGGCCCAAGACGCTCCAAGGGACCAAGCTTGGCCCAATGGCGACCCCCCAGACAGGCTCAAGATGGCCTGCGGAGGGCCCCGAGACGGCCCAAGACGGACCCAAGAGACCTCCCAGGCGGCCCACAGGAGCCCAATACGGCCTAGGAGAGCCCCGAGGCGACCCAAGACGACACCCGTTCCAACATTGCCAAACTATACACCCGAGACGGACCCCAAACGGCCGCGCATTGGTCCTACTTTGGTCCTTGGAGCATGCGTCCACGAGGCACCAAGACGGCCAGGAACCTTTGCAGATCTTCACGCCTCGCGTATCCCCACCAGCCCATTGAGAAACCGTGCGCATGAAAGTCGACGGGGAAAGGGACGAAGATACACGTCTAGTGAAACAAAGCGGACAGCCAGGGAGAAGAGAGAGACCTCTGGGAGCAAGGAGGTGACCTTGGAGGGCCGCTTCGGGCCAACCCTGGGGCCCGCGTGGGGGAGAGGGAAACAGGAGGAGGAGGAGGAGGAGGAGGAGGAGGAGGAGGAGGAGGAGGAGCAAGACGACGACGACGACGACGACGACGTGGACGGGGAGGAAAAGGAAAAGGAAGACGATGAGGGAAGGAACGAGGACGAGGCGAGGACAAGGAGGAGGAGGAGGTGGAGGTGGAGGAGGAGGAGGAGGAGGAGGAGGAGGAGGACAACGAGGAGGAGGAAAGCGCCCTCGAGATCGCCTCTTGGAGCCCTCTTGGGACTCGTTTGGGGTATCTTGGGGGCCCTCCTGGAGCCCTTTTGGGGGTCCCCTGGGAGCCGTGGGGGGCCTCTTGCAGCCATATTGGAGGCAATCGGTCAAGAGAAGGGAGGGGCCGATTTGCCTTGCCTCCCTGGGGCCATCAATATCGCCTCCTTGGGCCCTCTTGGGCGCTGTCGGGGCCGTCTTGGGGGGCTTCTTGGGCCCCTCTTGGGCCAATTTGGGGCCATCCTGGGGCTTCAGAAGCGCATCGGAAGCGAAAAGGCGAGAAGGTAAACGTCATTGATTCGCCTTTGGTTGTTGATGCATGTTGGCCTCTCGGGGGGGGTCCTGAGGGGGACCGAGAGCATTTGGAACCGTCTTGTGGCCCTGGTCGGGCCTCTTGGAGGTATGTCGGGAGCTATCTTGAACCATCTTCGGTTATCTTGAATCGCCTTAGAGGCCATCTTGGAGCATCGGAGGCCCTCTTGGAGCCATCTTGGGCGCCATGACCGGCTTGCGAACCCGCCCAACAATCTCAGGGAGAGGAGGGGGAGAGTACCCCTCAGGGAAGAGGTTGCTGTAGAAGAAGAAAGATATCGGTAGACCACCTTAGCCCAAATGGCTGGTGGGATTCGATCCCCGCGAGGCCCAGATCGTCCAACATGAGGGATCCAATCCAGGCCCACGGGAGAGCCATATACGTGAAGATGCCGCCTGAGAGTCCGAAGACCATCCCAGGACAATCAAACACGAGCTGGAGTCCTGAAGGTTTGGGGCCAATTTCGCATTTCTTTTGTATTCAAGAAGGCCTTGGGGCAGCCAGATGGAGCCAAACAGGATCCCGCAAGTGCGCCAAGAGAGTCCCCGGATGAGCCCAGGCGACCACGAGTGGGCTCCAAGAGAGCTACATGGGGACTTCCTGAACTCTCCACGGACCATGGGGCCCACAGGGAAGTCCAAAGAGTCCACATGATGGCCCGACGGCGCCACAGGATGTTCTAAGAGTTCACGAAGGCCCTATGGGAGCCCAAGACGGCCCCACGACAACCCCAAGTGGCCACAAGAGAGCCACGAGCGGACTTTTTGCCACACCCGCTCGAAGGTCAATGATTTCTGGTTGGTGGCCTGTAGTTGGTGCCTTATGGCCAGATTCTTATGGCTGCTATGGAGGCTGGTGCCCTGTGGCTGCTGCCACACAGCGGGCTATGGTTGGTACTGTACGGCTACTACCCCTCATGCTATCACTGCTGCCGTGATTGTTGTTTTTGCTTCTATGTGCATCGCTGCCACTGCTGTCCCTCCTTCTTCTGTCACCGGCATGGCCACTGCTGCTGCTGCTGCTGTTCGTGCTAGCACCTGTTACAGCTACGACTACTGCGGGTGCATGTGCGACGACGGCGGAGGAAGAGTCTGGAGGAGAAAGAGAAAAGGGGAGGGGGACACGAAGAAGGATTTTTGGGGAAGGGGGAGGAGATGGGGTTCATTACGGGATTCCATTATTGCCAGTCCTTTGTTGCCCCTGTCTGCACTAGAACCTTAAGGGCGCGCGAAGCGCGCGCGTGGTTCTTGTGATGTAAAGCTCGAGCTCGGCATCCGACAATGCAGCTCCACCGAGAGGTTCTGGCTGAAGAGCTGGGTACGAAAAAGTGCCTGGCGTGCCGCTGAAGGTAGAAGTAGACCCAGTCCTCCAACTGCCTCCTTCGCCCTTACCGCACTTGTCCTTCCCGCCACCTTTGAAGCATTGAGCTCCAGTAGCGAGCGCAGCTCGAAGTTCGTCGTGTGATCTTTGAGCCCACATGCCAGGAGGCCCAGGAGGCACAGAGGGAGCATGTCCCGCATACGTAGCAGCGCAATGCTTGCACCACGAGTACAAGAAGCTGGCGTGCGCATATCCACACGAGCTGGGTGTCTATGGGGCGACGCGCTTGAAAGGGAGTCCGTGCGCCACAGTCAACTGTCAGCAGCATCATCTGCTACCGGCGCATGCCGCGGAGCCACGCGCGACCGCAACCTTCCGTGAGAGTCAGAGGTGAGCTCTTGCAGAGGCAGGAGCCAATGACCCGCAACAGCACTTCCGTTCTGATGCTCACTGATGCGAGCCAAAAACTCGGCTATGACGGCTTAGAGGGGGAGGCAGGGGTTTAACGAGTGCGCTGAGGAAAGACGAGGGAAGAAGACGAGGACGAGGCGCAGGAAGAGGATTACAATAGTGCAGGAGGGGAATGAGGAGGAGGGAGGAGGAGGAGGAGGAGAAGGAGAAGCAAGAGAGGAAGGATGAAGTTGAGGAGGAGGAAGAAGAAGAGGAGAATGAGGGGGACGGCCAGGAGGGGGAGGAGCAGCCTCGGCATGCAGGCTTTGCGCGCCAGCCCCCCCGAGCCGATGTCGCCGGAGGGGCGTGGCCCTCGTCGTCGTCGTCGCCATCGACCCCCCAGACCCCCTTCCCTCACCCTTCTGGTGCTGTGCGTCCCGCCTTCGCCGACGGCCGCTCCTTCTCTTTCTCTTTCTCCCCCCCGTCCTCCTGCGTGTCGCCCCGATCCCCTGTTCCTGCTCTTCTGTTTCTCGCCCCTGTCGTCCTCATCTCCGTCCTCCTTCCTCATCTCCTCCCCCTCTCCTTCCCTCCTCTGGGTCCTCCTCGCCCCTCCTCTTCCTCGTCCCTGTCCGCCTCGTGTTCGTCCTCCTACCCATCATACCGCCCCCCCTTTGATCCTGATATTCTTCTCCAGTGTCATCGTCCACTTCCGTAAGCATCTGGGCTGCTGAATCCAGTGGCGTCGATTTGTTGCTCTGCCCCGTTTTCCAGTTGTCCCGCGCAATGGGCTTCGAGCTTCCCGATGCATATGGGTACGTGCTCCTGGCCCACGGCTTCTCTTGGATCTCCAACATGTACCTCGTGATCAACGTCGTGAAGGCGAGGAAGAAGTACAAAGTCGAGTACCCCGCTCTGTACGCACCGGATGGGCACCCGAACGCCTCTGAGTTCAACTGCGTCCAGCGCGCACACCAGAACACCCTGGAGAACTGGGCCCCAGTGCAGCTCGCCATGGCCTCGGGGGGGGGGCGAACTGCCCACCTGCGTGCACCGATCCTGGTGGGTGTCGTCCTGAGCGCACGATCTGTGCAGACGCAGTCCCTGGTCCGGCGAGGAGGGCGTTCCCCGAAGAAGTGAATCCACATGAACGTAAACTTCCCGAGTTCCGCGCGGGTTTTCTCAGATCGGCGCCGGATCCCCCTCCCATGGCGCGCTCCGCGCGCAAGGGGCCGGCGCCGCCGGGGGGGGCTCAGTACCGGTCCAAGAGGTCCGCGCGGGCCTCCCATCGTTTACGCTAGTGCCGTTCTTCCTTCTTCCCACGAGCTTGCGACCAGGACGGGCCTGGCTTGGGGAGGAAGGACGAATATCAAAGACACGCGCTTCGTCTTTCAACAAATACGTGTTATCAGCCCTCTGCACAGACGCCAGACGCTTTTGCAATATTAGCCCGCCGATGGTGTCGTTCGACCTGCGTGACATTCATGCTGCTGTTGTTTCCCAAGGCAAGTGTGCGTCGATATTTGCCCTCCCTTTCCCCCCAGGCGTTCAACGGCATTATGTACCCGAAGTTCGCTGCGGCGTGCGGTACCATCTGGGCGGTCGGACGCATCATCTACGGCTACGGCTACGCATCTGGTGGGCCACAGGGTCGCATGGTGGGAGGCCGGATGACGCGGAGGGGGAGGAGGAGGAGGAGGAGGAGGAGGAGGAGGAGGAGGAGGAGGAGGAGGAGGACGTCGACGAAGACGGCGAGGTTGATGAGGTTGCGGCGATGTTTTGAGGGGCTCTTGGAGGTTGCAGGAGCTGGAGATTCCAGGGGCGTCTGGGGGAGTCTGGGGAGGGTCGGAGGGAGGGGGAGGACATGGGGAGGAGGACGAGGAGCAGGAGGAGGGGGCGGGAGGAATGGCAGGAACACGGGGAAGATGCCCAAGAGGAGTAGCAGGCATAATCTCACACCTGGGCGACTTCCCGCTCATGATCGGAGTTTTCGTCGCTGGCTTCAAGATGCTCCCGAAGGCCTGAGTTGAGCACCAGCGCGCTCTTGGCGCCGCCCTTCGCGCGACAGGCGACAGGGTCTCAGCGTTCTTAGATCGATTTGGGCACGTTGCTTGCTCAGAGACACCAGTGGTGGGGGGGGCGTCTCCCAGCCTCAGTGGGGAAAAGCGCTATCTTCGGCATACCATCCGCCTTCTTCCTTCTGCTTCATTCTTCCTTCTTCCTTCTCTTCCCCATCTTCCTTCTTTATAATCCTCCGCCTCCCCCTTCTCCTCCCCCTCCTTGTAGGACCTAAGAGCTCTCGAAACAAGGCCCTTCACACAAAAACGCAGCCCAGCCCCATCCCAAGACATGTATACTCCTCGTGTCCCTCCTTCCCCTCCTCCTGCCCCTGCTTCTCCATCGTCCTTGTCATTCCTCCGTCGTCTCTTTCTGCTCCACCCTCGGATGTCGCCCTCCAATCTAGGGAGAGGGAGGAGGAGGAGCAGCAGCAGCAGCAGGAGCAGCATAGTGATTTGCAGGAGAAGCCTGGAGAGAGATCAGGCGGAGGGGATGAGAAGAAGGAGAAAGCCGTGGAGGAGGAGGAGAATGAGGAGGTGGATGATGATGCTGATGATGATGATGATGAGGAGGAGGAGGAGGAGGCAAGGACGAGTGAAACGCAGGAGGGGTATGAAGAAAGATGAGCCGCCAGAGGAGGCTTTTATTGGAGGAGGCGAGGCGGGGGGGGAGGATGAGGAGCATCCGCCCTTCTCATAATCTCCCCTTGAAACCTCCCTCCTCCTCCTCCTCCTTCTCCTCCTCCTCCTCCTCCTCCTCCTCCTCCTCCTCCTCCTCCTCCTCCTCCTCCTCCTCCTCCTCCTCCTCCTCCCCCTCTCCGCGTCCTCCCCCTCGGCAGGTCGCGTCCTCGCGTGTCGTCTGCCCCTCCATGATGGCCAGTGTCCTCTTCCTCCTCCTTCCCCTCCTCCCTCCCCCTGCTCTCGAAGGGGGAGGGAGAAGGAGGCTAGAAGGCGAGATCGGCTCGTTGTCGACGCGGCCTGGCCCGAAAACGTGACATGACGATGCCGCCCTCGAGGCTGGAGCGCCCGGGCCTCCAGATGCTCTGGGTGCTGCTGGACCAGTCCATCGCAGCGGCGGGCCGCGGGGGAGGGAGCCCTCCGCACACGCTTAAGACCGCGGGCGCCAGGTGGTCCAAGACAGTCAGACGCGGGTCGAGCCAGCGGTGGGGTGCACGGGGGGGCGAATCGAGGCAGGAAGGCGAAAGAGAACAGATCTCGAGGGAGAAGAGGGCGGAGCTCGCTCAGACCGTGAAAGCTGGCGGTCGGGGTCGGCTTGTCGTGGAAGTGCTTGATGAGGTACACGCTCCACTGGCTCCCGTGTTGTGTCGGCGCGGCCGCGATCAGACGAGGAAGAGCTCTCGATATTGCTGCTCGTCCTGCGGAGCCCTCGTCGCCACGGCTGAGTCATTCTGGAGATTCGAGTCAGCACGCACCCCAGGGGAGGTCCTGGGAGTAGCGGTATCGGTACCTGTTCGTCCCCCCCCGACGACCCCAGCGCGGGCGTTCAAGGTTGAGCGACGCTGGTGGCCCAGAGTTGGGAGATGTCGGGCGGATCGCGCCGCATCGCCGAGGCGTCTGCTGCGATCGGACCCTATATGAGAGAGGCCTCCAGGAGAAAGCCGCGATCCTGAAGGTGGAGCGATCCACGCAGGGTCCAGAGCCAGCTCGCAGGTCGTCACGGCAAAATTTGCTGTGCTCGCTGGTGTAGCGCATCCTGGCCTCGTGAGTCACTGCCCACCAAACCACCCCAACCCAACCCGAAGGCCCCTATTTGCCCTCCATTTCCAGTGAGGGGGGGTTTGGGGAGCATTGAAAAAAACATATGAAGCCCTAACCCCCCCATCCCGAAATTCTGGCGAAACTCGGGTCTTCTGGATGGGTTGGGATGGTCTGGTAGGTAGTCAGTGAGCTGGTCACGGCGTGCGTGTCGCCCCGGGGTTGGGTTCTGGGCCCTCGCGGGTCGGTCTGGTTCGAAACGTGGCATTGAGAGGTGGTGTCTGGAGGTCCAGTCGTGTCCTCGTGGTAGCTAGATGTGTTTTGAGGACGTCGCACGTCGTGCGCAACAGATGTCGCAATCGTAATCACCATCGCCATCACCGGGGCCGCCGCGTTGTTATGCAACAGTGCAGTTGCGCCGATCATCGAGAAACCTCTCGTCTCCGCCTTGGCCCAGGATTCCCGTGGCGGCCTCGGTCTAGCAGGCCCAGTTTCTTAGCCCCGTTCAGATGCACGGGGCAGCGCGCCCAAGGCTGGCCAAGCGTTTGCTTAAGATGTTGATCGAACGCTGGCCCGGATTCCTTAGGACAGCCTGCAGTGCGCGCGGCAGTGCGAGCCGCGATCTATGGGGTTGCTGCACAGTTGGCGTGCGCGATGCTGGGCTTCCGTGCGGCGGGACGAGGCGCGCGGACGGAATCGCCCGCTTCCAGGTCTACCTTATAGCGTTAGGTGTCAAGCGTACCTCGGGGGGCGCGAGTCAGAGGCGGGGGGGCGCCCCACCCGGCGTCGCGCATGCCCAAGTTGAGCTTTGTGCGCAGCGTCACGGCTCGCTTGGGTGTTGTTTGCCTCCTCGCGGCCGCCCCCTCAGCTGCGTGGAGACCGCCCCCGGAGGATGGGCCGCGGGCCGGCGACATGGCGCAGCCCTCGGCCAGGACGCCTGGGCCGCGGCGGCACGCGGCAAAGGCAGACGGCGGCGTGCCGCGTCGTGGTCGATGGCCAGGCTGAGAGGCGCAGCAGCCCGCTTGACCGCTCGGCTCTCGCCGAGCCGACGCGGCGGGAGATTCCCCGTGCGCCTGTGGCCAGTGGCCTCCTGAAGCCCAGATGATGGAGGAGGGCCGTGCTTGGCGGCGCATGGCCAGGGTGGAGGGAGCTGCTGCCTGCGCGGCGGGGCAGGCCAGGCATCTACCGCCTGTCGTTCGCTTCTCTGGGGGCGGCGTGACCGAATCTGCGTCCCTCGCGGCACGGCCCATCGCGCGGCTCCCGAAGGTGCCCGACTGAGAGTCGTGCGCCGCCTCCAGGCGCCTGCGTCTGCGCATCTCGCCCGAGCCGGCTCGTCAGAAAGGAGGGGGGCCCCAGACGGCGGAGGGCTCGCCGTGCGAGCGAGGAGCCTGGCCTCCCCAGCACGGCGGCGGGCGGGCAGCCCGCGGCGGACGGCGAGGCCGAGCTCGGAGAGAGAGACGCGCGCACAGCCCAACGCCCTGCCCCAGTGCCCCGAGGAGCCGGCCTCCATCCCTGGCCAGGAAGCGGCTGCTGGCACAATTCACGGCATTAGCATCGTAATCATCAGCGGCTGCTAACACCAGTCACGGCATTACCAGTGTCATTGTGCCGGCCGTTTGGGCGGGGTTGTTCGGGAATGAGTTCGGCCAAGCGATGGGCATGTGCGGGCTGCTCAGCATGATCTGAGCGAGTCAGTGCATGAGCCCGCCAGACCCGACCATGAGTCATGCATGCTATATCTTCTTCTCGTTCCGCCTCCTCCTCGTCGCCCTCATCGACCTCGCATTTGCTTCGACGACGTGCTAGATGTCAGGGCCGAATATATGATGCGTGGCGTCTTTTTTTGTGATCCCCCATATGTAATGTTAATACGCACCGTTTCCTGTGCTGGGTGGAGGGGAGAAGGGGAAGACAAAGAGAGGGAGAGAGAGAGAGAGAGGAAGAGAGATGGAGAGACATAGAGGCAGTACACATAGAGAGAGAGAGGGATGGAAAGATAACTTGAAATATACATATATAATGAGAAATATATATATATATATAGAGAGAGAGAGAGAGAGACAGAGGTATCTCTCTCACCCTATATATATATACACCCAACCGAAGTATATACACAAGGCTGCATGGGCGCTTCGCGCCATGCACTTTGGTCCTTGAGACTTGGCATGCAGGCAGGAAGGCAAGTAGGTAAAACGTTATTGTTGCATTTGTCTGGCATCGTCGTTATAATAGTGTTATGCGCAATCCTTCCATCACGTTTATTTTTCCTCCTCCTCGTTCTCGCCCTGCCCTGCGAATTCGTTCCCATCCTCAACTCATTTTGCTGAGGCTCATCCTGGAAAAAACGCGAGTGCTCGCGAAAGTTTTGAAGAGCTTGTTGGGGCTCTTCGGAGGCCTCCTGGATTCCTTCTTGGGTCCTCCGGGAGCTTCCCTGGGCCACCCTGCTTCCAACCGCGGTCTCCTTGAACTATCGGGTCACGGTTTGGAATGATTCGGGGGGCGTCTTAGGGCCATCTTGGGTCGTCATGGGGCTCTCTTCGGGCCACTTTGGGGACCTGTTGGGCCGTCTTGGGACTCCTCTTGGACTGCCTGGAAGCCCTCTTCGTTAAATTAGGTACGATTATCTGGCCTTCTGGGCGGACTCGGACGCCCAGAAGACCGTCTTCGGGTGTCTGGTGGGTGTCTGGGGCGTCTGTGGGCTCTCGCGGGGCCGTTCGGCCGCCCTCCTGTCCGATCTGGGCCTGTTGCCTAGGCCCATCTGGGGCTTCAGGAGCTCCAGAAAGCACACGGGGACCGTCTGCAAGGGAGGGTTCCTTTTGGGGGGGGGGTCGCAGTGTCCCAGATTACGTAAATCAATATCGAAAAGGGAATATGTCGATGCATGTATACATATACATTGTACGTGCATGCGTGCATGCATCAATGCATATGTGCATGCGTACATACATACATACAGACACACAGACAGACAGACAGACCGGCAGAGAGATAGACATGCAGATGAATACATGTGTATATTCATTTGCATGCAACATATTGAAGCACATCTACAAATATAGAGAGAAAGACATGCGAGAACACAAACACACACACACACACGAGACAGAGAGATGCAAGATAGCGAAATATGAGAGAGAGCGAGACATGTATAGAGAGAGGGGAATTGGGACTGGGGATAAGGAGAAGAGAGGTCGTGGAAAGAGGTGGTGGAGATCCTCAGAGAGGGGGCAATGGGAGGATGAGAGGAGCACTGGGGAGGGAAACAGGAATAATTATGATATCAGGAGGAGGAGGCGGAGTTTGTAGGTGGAGGGGTGTGGGAGGAAGGAGGGAGCAGGATCAAGTAGCAGCAGGAGGAGGTCGGGGCAGGGGGAGGATGATCAAGAGCCCACCCCAATACCGCGAATGCCTGGGCATGATAAATTCGCGTTGCCCTGTGAGACGCCCATCGGTCCATCGACCGAAGAAGAACAGAGAGCATACATTCAACCTGAACGGTTCTACATATGCCGATTGTCCTCCTCCAGAACGAGTCAGGACTGCAGGTCGACTGTGGTGGTTGGGCTGGAGGTGAAGGTGGAGGAGAGGTGGGCGCACGTGCTGCGGCAATGCTGCCATACCCCCTGCAGGCACATCGTCAGGCAGCTTGGCTCAGAAGAGTTCTGAGAGGAACGAACCGTGAGCCCGACACTGACAAACATCGACGGGTTCTGATCGGCCGGCCTGATGGCCTACGCTTGATCTGAGCGGGGGGGGGCGCGCAGGTAACCCACCCGCAGAACGCGCGGTTCCCCGAGCGGAAGCGCCTGGGCCTCTTCGCGGCGGTGGCCTTCGCGCACCGGCTGGAGCTGGCCGCGGGCAAGGCGCCCCCCCCCCAGTTCTCCTCGGTCCTCCTCAGGTCGGGGAAGCGTAAGACTGGAGCAGGCCGGCACTCGGGTTTACCGATTTTTGTTTGACGAGCGCGTCCTGGATGTTTTGACGGTCCCGTTTTCGCGGGACGTTTGCAGCGGGAGCCCGCGCCGAATTTCAGACTGGGTCTCGTCACTTTCATGAGGGCCCCCGTCAGGCCGACCCGAGCCCCCCGGTACCCGAGTCTTGCGTCTCCCCGGTCGAGGCCCACCCACGAGGGTGACGCGCCCCAGAGCCAGCGCAACTCAAGCCTCCCTGCTTCCTCCCTCAAGCAGCGAAGCACACGCTCCACCTCGCTCTGCCATGTGGTCATCGTCATGGCGCCTGGCCCCCGCCAGACGAGAAGGTACGCGACCGAACAGCAGTCGACGACAGAAGACGTGCCCGAAATTGCCACCGAGAAACGTGGTGCGATCGACATCGCGACCGAGATTGAAAAAACGTTTTGGCGTTCGGAGAGTTTTGGGCGCCGGTTTCGGTCACACTCGGGCAGACGTTCGGGCACCGTTGCGGTCACTACCCCCCCAGGTAGAGACGAAGCTGCGTGACCACTGAGCATCTTCCGCCGCAAGCTGATTTGCACAAGTAGTGCGACAGCGCGGAACTTGCCTCCTCCCTTACCTGCCCCCCAGACCTCGTCGTCGCCGCCCCCGATCCCGCCGCCGCCAACGTCGTCGCCGACAACGACGCCTCAGTCGCCGCCGACGCAGTCGCCGCCGCCGCCGCCGCCGCCGCCGCCTGCGCCGCCGCCACCTTCGCCCGCGCGCTCGTAGCCGCCGTCGTCGTCGTCGTCGTCGTCGTCGTCGTCGTCGTCGTCGTCGTCGGCGGCGGCGGCGGCGGCGGCGGCGGCGGCGGCGGCGGCGGCGGCGCCACCGGTCCCGCCACCGCCGCAGCCTCCGCCGTCGCGCCGCCGCCGCCGTCGCCCACGCGCTCGGAGCCGCAGCGGGCGCCAGGCCCACGAGCCAAAGTGGCTCGTCAACAACCGGCGGCACTGGAAGCCCGAGTGCGGGGCGGCCGCGGTGGGCACGCCAGACGAGCCTGGCCGCGCCCTCGGCTCCGCTGGGCGGCACCCCCGGTGGGGGGGCCCGGGGTCAGCTCGGCGGCGCCGGGCGCCCAGCGGAGCCGTCAGCTCTGGACCCCCGTCACCGATCCTGGCCAGGCCTGCATGGGGCCCAGCGTCGGTGCCCACGCCTCCGTGGCCGAGCCAGAAGAGAGCACACCCCGGTCTTGGGCTCAGGACGGGACTGGACAGGCTCGGTGGGGTGGCTGGCCGATCTCCACCGAGATCTGGAAGGGAGGTCGGGAGCGGGAGGCTGGCTCTCGACCAGGGCTGATCGTCGTCTGGGGCTCCACTCTGAGCTCCTGGAGGCCTCCGGAGGCCTCTGGAGGCCCACGAGGGGGCCTCCAGGGCCCGAGGACCTCCGCGGAGAGCGCTGGGGGAGCGCGGGAGCCTCCACGAGCCTGCGGGGACCCGCCGCGGGGAAGCCTCGGAGAGTGGATGTGGGGGAGAGGGAGGGGGAGGAGGAGGAGGAGGAGGAGGAGGGAGGAGGAGGAGGAGGAGGAGGAGGAGGAGGAGGAGGAGGAGGAGGAGGATGGAGGAGGAGGAGGAGGAGGAACATGAGGAGGGGGAGGAGGAGGAGGAGGAGGAGGAGGAGGAGGAGCAGGGAGGGGTCCTCTACGGGGGGAGAGAGGGCCAAGACTCATGAGCCAGCACTTCGTGCTGTTTGGGCAAAGTAACATGGAGACATGGAAACAGCAAGTGAAGTCGAAGGCATCATCACATTGTCCTTGCATCCGCAGGTCTCATCGCAGTGGTCTCTCCGCGCCTCGTGCCCTCAGCTTTCCTCATTCCTCTCCCAACATCGCTTGCGCCGAGAAAAGTTATGCTACCCTCTTTAGGATAGGGCTGGTCACCACCCACCAAACCACCCCAACCCAACCCAAAGGCTCAATCGGCCGTCCATTCCCAGTGGGGGGGGCGTCGGGGAACATTGAAAAAGCACCTGTGGAACCCGCCCCCCCCCAAACCCGAAACTTGCGTCTTTGGGTTCGGTGCTCTACATGCCCAGTGGGGGAGGGCGTCGGGGAACACATTGCAAGAACATGTGTGGAACCTGCACCCCCCTCCAACGCGAAATCTGGGCCGTCGGGCTGGGTAAGGGTAGTCCAGTAGATAGTCAGCTGGGAGGGGAGAGGGGGGGCGGAGTTTCCCTGGCGGTGCGGTGACCACACCGCGTGGCGAGTCGTCGTCGTCGTCGTCGTCGTCGTCGTCGTCGTCGTGATCGTCGTCGTCGTCGTCGTCGTCGTCGTCGTCGTCGTCGTCGTCGTCGTGGTTGTCGTCGTTGTCGTCGTGGTCGTCGTCTTCGCCGTCGTCGTCGTCGTCGCCGCCGCCGTCGTCGTCGTCGTCCTTGTCGTCGGCACGCGCGGGCCACTCTGCCCTCCGCGAGCACACGCCGCCGACGGCGGGCGGGCCCCTTCCTCTCCTCGCGGCTGCGGGCAGGCTTTTGTGAAGGCTTTGCGGCGGGTGCCGCCGATCCCGAAGACGAGGACGACGACGAGGAGGAGGAGGAGGAGGAGGAGCAGGAGGAGGGGCAGGAGAAGGGGGGGGAGGAGGAGCAGGAGTCAGAGGAGGAACCCATACCTCTACCCTTCCCCTCGTTTTCCCTTTTTGTGGTCCCCTCGGAGGCCCTCGTCGCCACCACTTGATTCGCCTCGGAATTCTAGTCAGAACGCACCCCAGGAGAGGTTCGGGGAGTAGCGGTATCGGTACCTTTCGGTTTCCACAAGGAGAAGGAGGGGCAGGACGCGGTGGAGCAGAAGGAAGAGGAGGCGGAGGAGGATGAGGAGGGGGAGCCTCCTCGTCTGCGGGCAAGACTTGGATCCTTATCCGTTGCGTCTTGGGCTCTCTTGGAAACGGGCAACAAAAGGCCGAGGCGCAGTGGGTATGTAGAGGAGTCTAGCCTCTGGGGATCCGATGTTTGTCCATATCCGCTGCGCCTTCTGGTTTCTGGGGAAGGGATCCCGAAATTCCTAGATGCAGTGGATTTGGATATTGGTACAAGTCTTGTCCGCATCATCGCACCCCCCCTCCTCTCCGCTGCGCGATGCAGGACATTACGGTCAGGTTCGCGTCGTGTCGACGCGATGGTGTCCCCGCCGCGGGCGTTCAAGATTGAGCGCCGCCGTTGCCCAGAAGCAGCCAATATAGAAGGGTCTGACGATCAAAAGGCCGCCGATCGTTCAAGGTTGAACGATCCAAGCGGTGTCAGAGACCAACTCTGGGGGCCATCGTAGAGACATCATGGGGCGATCTCTGCAGTCATCTTGGCCCGTCTTGGCCTTCTTGGAGCATCCAAGGCTCGTCTCGGAGGTATCCGGAGCTGGAGCGTGTAAGACGGTAAGCATGTGCAGGAGCAGTGCGAGGCCACATAATTTTGACGTCTCGGGGGCATTTTGTAAATTGGATTGCCGCCTTTGGGTGACCATTGCGGTGTATGGCGGTCAGTCGTGGGGGGAGGGGGCTCCTGGGCGTCTAGCCGGCCTCAGGGCGTTCCAGGGAGGGGAGGGGTGGACACGGTCTCACGGTCGAAGTACAGTTGGGAATTTTTGGATAGCGTGTCGCTCCGCCGGTTCTGGCCCACCGCGCCTCGGAGCGACACGATATCCACGTCCCCGTTCCCGAGCGTCAACGTCCCGCGCCTTTCAGAGCCTCCCGCCCCGCGGAGCGGAGCGGCACGCCATCCACTTTGCAAGGCATAGCCATAGCGTGTCGCCAGGGCCGCCGCCGCGACACGCTGTGCAGGACATCCTGACCGTAATTCCTTGGGAGACCATGCCGGTAGATGTGATGGCCCCTCTCCTCTCTCGTCCTCCCTCTCCGCCCCCGCCTCCTCCACTCCCGCTCCTCCCTCCGCTCCTCCCTCTGCCTCTGTCCGAGCAGGGGCGGTCCCGCTGTTCTCCTCCTCTGTGCCCCAAGCCCCGCTCCGCCGCCGCCCGCCTGCCCCTGGCGGGCGCCCTCTGCCTCTTGTGCTTCGCCCACTCTCGCTCTCCTGGAGCCGGCCACTTCGCACTCTGTGCCGCAGTCCTCCCTCCTTCGCTCTCTTGGTTCGCGCCTAGGCGCAAGGGATGTGATTCAATCGACTTTGAACGTTCGTCGGGGGGTCGCCGTGTAGGGAAGGCAGGATTAGCGCAGAGGGAGGCAGAAGTGCACGTGTGACCTTGGCCCGGGCCGGAGGAGAATCCTGGGGTGCGATCGCTGCAGACCTACGCCCTGGCCCGGCCTCCGGACATCACCGTCAGAAGGAGAAAACACGTCATACGTTGTCTCCTTCTCTCTCGCTTCACGTTCGCTCTCCCCCGCCAGGCCTTGGGCCGGGCACGTACCTCCGGCGCACCTGCTCGGCGGAGGCGTGGGCCTACGACCAGGTCACGGAGGAGCCCGGCGGGCGTGGCGCGAGGTGCCTCGAGGCATCGATGGAGCATCGATCCCCGACGATCGATCGATGAGCTTCGGCGGGAGCGAGCATCCATCGACTAGCAGTCGCCAGTGCTTCGTCAGGACGTTCGGGGAAGCGGCGCCCGCTGGGCGGACGTGCTCCACATCGCTGGACAAACCAGGCTCGTTGGGGGCGAAGCGGGAGGAGGAGGTGTCCAACATGCAGGCGCAGCGTTGGTTCTGCGTCGCCTTTGCCGTGGCCAGCGCGGCGGCCCTGACCTGTGTCGCGGCGGCGTGCGAGGGAACGCCTGACGACGACGAGGCGAGCGGGGCCAGACGGAAAAGCGACGAGACGGAAGGGCTGGCTGTTCCTTTTCAATCCTGGCCCTGACTGCTGCACGTGCTCTGGCCTGCTCGGGTGGTCGCCTTTTCTCCAGTGGGCCGCCTCCTCTGCGCCTCCTGCGCTGCCCCTCTCGCTGCCCGCGCGCGGGGAGGAAGAAGCGCTGGTCGCTTGTGCCGTGGGCGCAGGAGCGAGACTTGCTGCTGCCTGGCTGTGTGAGACATGGCCCGGACGAGAGGCGACAGCTGATCCCGGCCCTGACTGGTCTTTAGGCCCCCCCCAAGCAGTGGGAAGTCCTTGCCAGTAGCCACATGGGGGGGGGGGGCGGGGCAAAACTAACCATCCTTAGGGGTTAACCTCCTGGTCGGGACATCGCTCAGTTGTTGAATTTGTCGTGCTGTGCTTCCGCGCTGAATGCTGGCTGCTCATGGATGCGCCGCGTAGCTCTCAGGAGCCCGATGGTGATCGCTTTGCAAACGTTCAGTGCGACGACACGTCGTTGCCCTAAGTAACGTCATGGGCCCCCTCTTTCCTTCAACCCTTCGTTTTGGCACTACCTGTGAGGGATAATTGTGCGTTTGCTGCCTGCAAGGGCCGACGGGCGTACTCACGCGGGCTCGGACGGATTCAGTGTGTCGGAGTGTTTGCGGTGGAGCGTTTTCGGTCGAAACAAATATTCCCCGAGAGTGCCCCAGGACGTCAATATTGCCCCATTCCTTTGGCATATTCGCTCCTTGGGTCTTAACAGCGTCCAAGGCGTCCCAGAGGCCCCCAAGATCGCCCCAAAACGGCCCAATATCCCCCAAGAGGCTCCCAGGACGGCCCAAAAGAGCCCCAAGACGGCCCAAGAGGCGCCCAATATTGCCCAAGATGGCTCCCCAAAGAGGGGTCGAAGAGGCGGGACTCCAATTGACATGTCGAGCTCTCCGCCCCAAGTTTGTCCCCGAGGCCGCTATCAGGCCCCCAAGAGGTCCCAAGAAGTTTCAAATTTCGCTCCACAAGGCGCCCCTGAAGCATGCCAAGAGACCCATGAGTATAGGTATTCCAGAAGCCTCTGGCGCAAAACTCAGGCACGGTGACGGTACGGGCCGAAGCCATAGCAATAGACAAGCAAGCAATTGGCTTGGCGACAGATCCAACCCGATTCAGTCACGTGTAGCGCAGGGCGCGGCCCTATCTTCAGATATTGCGCGCCGCGGGACAGAGCTGATAAGGGGCTGCTGCGGAGCAAGCGTGCGGCGCAGGCGCGCTGATTTACATGTGGGGCACGATCCGCATCAGAGGGGTGCCGCAATCCGGGCACGCCCGTGTGAACACGCCCACTGAGGCCGCAGGTGGAGCTCCCCGTGGGGCACGACCCGTTAAGCATGTGCCGAAATGGGCGGGGGGAGACGCGAAGTTGCCCAATGGTGCCATATGTGGTGCTCCTTCAGAGCACGATTCGCGTGCATGGTGAGCCGATATGGGCGGGGGGAAGATTTACGCTTGTCTCGAGGGCGGGGTGTGGTGCTCCCTGTGGGGCGCGATTTGCGTCATGGGTGTGCCACAGTGAGCGGGGGGGAGGCGCTATGATAACCTCGTCCATGTGGCCGTTGGTGCAGCTCCTTATGGGGCATGATCAGTGTGAGAGGCGTGCCGAGGCAGGCGGTGGGCGGGATGCGAACCTTGTGCCTGGGGCCGTAGGTGGAACTCCCTGCGGGGCACGATCCGTGTGAGAGGTGTACTGAAGTGAGCGGGGCGAAGCTCTGCGAAGCTTCCCTCTGGTGCCCTAAGTGGAGTTACTTGCGGGATATAATGATCCGCGTGACGGGTGTGCCACCATGCGACTCTTCTCTCTCGGGTCGAGAGTGGAGCTCCTTGTAGGGCACGATTACTGTGAGGGGTGTGCCGAAATGGGCAGGGGGCCGTAGGTGGAGCTCCTTGAAGGCACCATCCGTGTGAAGGATGTGTTGAAGTAGGCGAAGTGACTCTATTCAAATATGGAAGCTCACGATTGTGCAGGTGCTCCATGCGGTGATCGTGGTGGTGGTGGTGGTGGTGGGTGTACCCATACGCTGATTGATATGGCTAGAACAGAAGCGCGTGCTGTTCTAGTTAGTATTGACGTTGGCTGTATAAGCCAGATGCTTATGGTTAATATTGCCATTATCCTTGCCAATATTGCTAAGTTTCTTAATACGGGTGCTTGTATACAGCCGAGCGGATGCATCTTTGCATATCAGAGAGTTAGATCGCATATGCATACACGAACATATACATGCGTTCTTACGTAGCTAGAGATGTGTTGTTGTGTAGATGTGCGTATGTGTGCTCAAGCTTGGCTCGTTCCAGAAACCCGGAATCTAACATGGTGTCATCTCTCGGGGGGCCTCTTTCAATTATCCCGCCTTCCGCCAGAAAGATACTTCAGGGCTTTCGATGCCTCCAAAGCCAGGGCCATCTCTGGAGCGCCTCATGTGTACGAATTCTAGGCGTTCAATCATGGACCCTTTGTTGAACGCGTCCAGCCAACTTTCGCGCCGAAAACCGCCAGAAACCGCAGAAGACCGCCACCAAAGACCGCCACAGGCCGTCAGAAGAGACCGCCCCAGGCCGAGGGGTGACGAAGGGTCCACGATCGAACGCGTGGCGCACTGCTTCCTCCGTCCTCCCCTCCCCGCTCTCCTCCTGCCCCCCCCGCCTGCCGCGCGCTCGGAGCCTCGCGCGGGGAGGACAAGCACTCGGTGCTCGAGGACACGGTGCGGCTGGAGGTGGCGGGCGGGATGGAGCCCGCGCCGCTGCCGCACTGGGGCGCGGTCGCGCAGGTGCTCGAGGAGCCCTGCGCCAGAGGGATGGATCGGAGGAGGGCCAGCCCAGGCAGCGGGGTCCCTCCCTGGCGTGGTGCGGCCTCCTGCGGCCTCCCGGGGACCTTCTCGTCGCCACGGCTGGATATCCGCATCGAGAAGCGGATCTCAGGCCGGGCCAGCCTGGGAGGAGGGGCCGGGGACCGACGTGGAGCGGATCTGGGGGGCCGCGCGGGAAACCAGCCGTTGTCTCAAGTGGCCCTCTTCCAAGGGGAGGGGGCGGTGGGAGAGCGGGGGAGGGGCAGGGAGGGGGACACAGGGGACCTTCCAGAAGCAGCTTCGCCTCCGAGTGGTCGAGGAGTTGGCGTCTCTTCCTCGGCTGAGAGGCGGAGGCGCTCCCCAGACTCTTCAGGGTGAGAAATCTAAGCACGGGCATCTGTCATGGAGCGCTTCTTGTTTAGGATGCTGTCCACAGTCCTATTAGGACCTTCATTCAAACTGTCCCAACAGATGTCCTTCAGGAGAGATCAAATGGGGAGGAGGAGGAGGAGGAGAAGGAGGAGGAGGAGGAGGAGGAGGAGGAGGAGGAGGAGGAGGAGGAGGGGGGAGCTCGAGGGTCACGGGTCGAGATTCGAGGATGCATGTCTTTAGACGTGTCCCTCCCCTGGTTCCAGGAATGTGTGTCCGGGCCTGCGGAGACACCGGGAGACCCCCAGAGACCTCGGGAAAGGCAGGATTGGACGGGCTAGGATTGGGACAAAACGTGTCGGAACGCTCTGAGGAGAAGGTTCGTTGCATCTTCGGGAGACCTCGCCTGTCCCCAACATTTGTGTCTTCTCTTGTGCCTACTACGCGGGCTCGATGCGGACTCGACGCGGATTTGGCGTGGATTTCGGCACGGATTCGACACGGATAGGGCCGCGACGGAACAGAGAAGGTCCTACGAGGATGTAACATAAGAGAAGGCCGCGACGCTTGGTGCATCCTCCAGGTCCCCGGGATGCCAGAGATCCCCGATGTATCTCTGTCCGATGTTGTTTCCCGTCCTGGCTTCGCCGTATGGGGAGGAGGTTCAGAAAGGAAACAAGCACAGACACTAATCATCCTGGATTCCCAGGACAATCTAGGACAATATGGGAAGTGGCGAGGAAGATGAAACACCAGAAAACCAATGATAATATATTATAGGGATCCTGGGATTCGTGTTTACTTACTTGCGTGTCCCTGGGCCCTTTTCAGACATGAGGAAACGAGGTGGAGGCGCAGGGAGTCGTCTGTCGGGATCCGGCTCTGGAGGGGGCGCCGCGGCTCCTCGCACCCTGCCCCCGCGCCTCCTCAACCCTGCGCCTTTCAGGCCGGACGAGAGGGGGTCAGGGAGAGGGGGGGGGGGGAACGAAATTTGCTGCGTGCCGCTGGTTTCGGCCCTGCCGCAGGGCCCAGTCCTCGATACCTGGGCGCCTCCCAGCGCGCCAGGAGGCGCCAGGAAGACCAGCTGCGTGAGCCGATTCTCTACCCCTACCCTTTGCCATCCTACCCTTTCGTGCCCCCCGTGCCTCCCTCCTCCTCCTCCTCCTCCTCCTCCTTCTCCACCTCCTCCTCCTCCTCCTCCTCCTCCTCCTCCTCCTCCTCCTCCTCCTCCTCCCCTCCGGCTCCTCCCTCCTCCTCCTCCTCCTTCCTCCTCCTCCTCCTCCTCCTCCTCCTCCTCCTCCTCCTTCTCCTCCTCCTCCTCCTCCTCCTCCTCCTCCCCCTCCTCCCCTCCGGCTCCCCTCGGCGCCTCCCGCTTCCTCCGCGGCTTCCTCCTTCCAGCGCTCGCCTCCTCCCGCTTTCCAGCGCCCTCCCTGGGTGCCGCCGCGCGTGCCGCCGCCGCCGCGTGCGCAGAGGCAAGTGGGAGCTCGCCCGTCCCTGGGCGCTGCCAGGCAGAAGTCGGGCACGTCCCTCCACAGGAGGAGTAGATTCAAGAGTACTTACAAATTAGTCTGGAAACGATTGTTTGACTATGTTAGAGCAGTTTGGGAACATTGTTGGAGTATGTTTCACTCTTCCTCCGAAATTTGCCCGTAGGAGGACATGCCCGACCGAATGCCAGGCGCGCAGCTCTCGCCACTCTCCCTCGCCCGCTGGGGGGGGGGGGCGGCACAGCGGTGCACGCTGATGCAGACCAAAAGGGAACCTCGCCTCCCTGGACGCTGCCAGGCGTGCCGCCGTCGCGGCGCTTTGGCACCCCTCGGGGATCCAGCGGAGCGGTCATGCAGAGCCACGCGGGGACCTCGCCCTCCCTGGATGCCGCTGGGCGTGCAGCTGCCGTCGTGTCCATGCGCCCCTGAGGGGTGGGGTCCAGCGGGGTGGTGACACACGCGGATTCTCCATGGGCGCTGCCAGGCGCGCGACTTTCGCCGCTGTACTGGTGTCCAGGGGGGTCCGAAGCGGGCTCCTATGTGTCCCAGACTCGGCAGCCAGCACACGCCCGCCGCCAGCCCTGGCCCATGTCAGGTGCAACCATGAAAAAGCGATCGCTGTCTGCAGCCAGGGACTGGCGGCCAGGCGGCCGGGTGGCGTGCGTCAGAGGACAAGCGTGGACCACCGCCACCGAGAACCCAACGGGGTGGGGGCCGACCCCTGGGCGGTGTCACGCCCGATCGCCACCCAGTACAGGTCTACAGTTGCGCCCAGGCGTGCCACCGCCCAGGCATCGGTACCCTGCCGATGGGTTCTCGGTGGCGGCGGTCCCCTGAGATCCGACGTTGCGAGACAAGTGGTAACAGCGTAGAACAACTCACGACCTGGAACCCCAGACCCCCTCTTGCTGCACCTTCTTTCGAGCCGCATCGGTCCGTCAGGGCCCCGCGGCCCGGCGCGGGGCGCGAAATCGCCCGGCGCGGATCAAATGCAACGCCTGGACCTCAGGGTGGAGGAGGATTGCGGAGGAAGATTGGGGAATGATGGAGGAGGAGGAAGGAGGAGGAGGAGGAGGAGGAGGAGGAGGAGGAGGAGGAGGAAAAGGAGGAATGGGGAGGAGGAGGAGGAGAAGGAGGAGGAGGAGGAGGAAGCAGAAAGGGTCTCTTGTTTGAGGGTCGAGACAGGCCTCCCGCCGTGACGTTCTCGTTGCCTCGATCGGGCCTCATTGTCCGGCGGCCTCTGCGCGCGGCACGGCGGGCGGCACGACGGCGGCACGGCGGGCGGGCGGCGCGTTGCTGGCGGCCCGGCGGGCCGCAGGAGCGCGGCCGGCTGCTGCTCGTGGGCGGCCCCGGCTCGGGCCGCTCGCTGGCGGCGCGGGCCGTGCTGGCGCACGTCGTGCAGGATCGGGCGGGGAGGCTCAGGGGAGGGAAGGGTACCCATACCGCTGGATTCCCTCGAAGTACTCATACCGAGGGGAAGGTACCCATACCGCTACCCTTCCCTTGTTTTCCCATTTTTTGGGCCTCCCAGGAGGCTCCCGTCACCACCGCTGGACTCGCCTCGAAGTTCTGGTCAGAACGCACCCCGGGAGAGGTCCGGGGAGCAGCGGTATCGGTACCTTTTGCTCTCCCCAAGAGGTTGATACCCAGACGTGCTCGCGCCGTGGAAGGAAGCACGACAGACGGTTTCTATCAGTTTTCGGCCTCCAGGGGCCCTCGGCGGGCCTCGGGGCCGTCAAAGAAAGACTCGGGAGGAAAAGCCAGCCCTGGGGAAGGGTCGGAACTTCCGGGGACCGCGTAGTGAAGCAGTCAAGACATCGCACGTCTGGGTACATACAGTCATGGCCAGGCCCATCCCCTGGTCCAGGAGCGATGTAAACGCCCTCCTGGCCAAGCCAGGAGGGCGTACATACATACATACATACATACATACATACATACATACATACATACATACATGCATACATACATACATACATTCATACATACATACATACATACGTACATGCATGCATGCATATATCTATATATATATATATATACGCACACACATGTATACATACATACATTCATACATACATACAAGCAAACATGCATACATGCATGCATGCATGCATGCATGCATACATACATACATACATGCATACCTCCATATATGTACACATATACATATATACAATCACATACATACATACATACACATGCACACATGTATACATACATACATACATGCATACGTACACACATACATACATAGATACATGCATGCATGCATGCATACATACATGCACAGATGCATCCATACACACACATACATACATACATACATACATCCATCCATACATACATATATACATACATACATACATACATACATACATACATACATACATATATTTGTGCACACATACATACATATCCACACACATACACACACATATATACATACATACACACATACATACCTGCATGCACGCATCCATACACACATACACATGCATACATGCATGCATACATGCGTATATGTATGTGTATGTATGTATATGTGCATACATACACATACACACAAACATGCATGCATGCATACATACATACATGCATACATACACGCATGCCTGTACACACATATATACATGCATGCGTACAGACATACATTCATACACACATCCATACACACATCTCCACACATGCATGCATACACACATACACACACGCATACATAAATACACATATACATACATACATGCATACATACATACATACATTCATACATACATACAGACAGACAGACAGACATGCACACATACATACAAGCATACATACATGCATGCATGCATACATACAGACTCACACATACATACACACATATTTATATACACATGCGTACATCCATACATGCATGCACACATGCATACATATACGCATGCATACGTGCATACATATATATATATACACATACATACATACATACATACCTGCATGCACCCATTCATCATTTCATTCATTCATACACACATATAGGCATACATATGCACACACACACAAACTATGCACATATATATATACACACAAATACACACGTATACATGTATATATGTATGTCTGTGTATTTATGAATCTATAGATGTCGGAGTAAGCCAGGGGCGGGGCGGCCCGGTGCCTGTACCCTCCATGGGCGCCCCCCGGGAGTTCTGGGCGGTCCCGAAAGCTCCCGAGACGACCCGGGCCCGCCCCGAGACGGGCCATGACAGGCTACGGGGGTCCCACGAGGGCGCAACACGGTCCCAAGAGGCCCCGAAGACACCCAAGATGCCCTCAAAACGGCCGACGAGGACTCCAACACGCTCCAGGACGGCCTCAAGAGGCTCCCCAAGAGGGCCCTGGGAGGCAATATGCATGTATTTTTCTGTGGCTATTGAAGGATTTTGGAGTTCTCGCTACTCCCGCTTCCCAACGCTCCCTCACGGCCTCGGAGGCCCTTCGGATCGCTCCAAGACGGCCCACGAGGCCCCGAAGAGGGCCCCAGACGGCCCAGGAAGCTCCCCAGACAACCAAAGTGTGCCCCAAGAGCGCCCCAAGAGCGCCCTAAGAGGGCCCAGAGGGGGACCACGAACAGATACTTCGAGGTCGATGGCTCTAGAGGCCCCCAGTAGGCCCCCGGAGGCCACCAAGAAGCTCCCAAGAAGTCCCAGGGGGCCCCAAGGGAACGCCCAAGAGGCCCCCACAACACACCCCAACAAATCATGTCCCCAGAAAGCCTTCCGGGGACATGGTTCATCATGGGCCCGAGAGTCTCCGGAGGCTCCGAAGTACCATCACGCTACTAGAATGCTGTCTGGGAATTTGATTAGGAACGTGACTGATCGCCTTCTCGCGGCCCTCCGCGGATCGTTTCGCACAACATTACCCCAAGTGCCATTTTGAACCGTATGGTAGCACTCGGGACGTGTTCTGGCTTCTCCGTACACTGGGGCCCGAGTCTGTGACTTATTGATCGGCTTCAGCTGGTCCTACGGAGGGGGCGAGGAGGTCCTCCGGAGGGGACCCACAGAAGGACGAGGGCCGAGGTTCTGCACTGTCGTCGTCCTCGCGATCGTCGTCGTCGTCGCCGTCGACGACGACGGCGGCGGCGACGACGACATTGCGACGACGACGACGACGACGACGACGACGACGACGACGACGGCACGCCCCAACAGGCCCCCAAGACGCCTCCAAAAACCATGTTCCCAGAAGGCTTTCTGGGAACCCGATTCATCAGGCCTCCGCACCCCTACGCAACCATTTTCCCCGAAAGCCTTTCGGAATACGGATTGACGAACGTGGATTTCCCACTGCCCGTGAAGAGCGTTCAGCGTTATGGACATTTCTTCATGTCCTATTCAAGCCGTATGTGGTCCACTACTTCAGTGGAGCAGTGAACTCGTCACGGCCTGGGGCCTGCTAGAACCACGCGCGCGCGAAGCGCGCGTGATTCTAATATATGTATATGTATATATCTATATATACACACATATACACATATACATATGTATATATATATACCGCTCCTGGACCCAGGATTTGCCTTGCCTGTGGCAGTTGATGTGTATAGCCCTCGTCGCCCCACAGGAGCAGCTGGCGAGCGGCGACGTGTCGAGGCCGAGGGGGGCCGGCGGGCCCGCCGCACATGCCAGACGCCCCCCCGAGATATCCCGGCGTACCCGTCTCTTCGCGTCCGGCGTTTGCGCCGAGTCTCGGGCCCCGGGTCGCGGAGGAGGAGGAGGAGGAGGAGGAGGAGGAGGAGGAGGAGGAGGAGGACGGGGGCAGGAACCAGAGGAGGGAGGAGGCACCAGAGGAGAGGCACGCCTCCCTGTCCACACGTTCGCCGCCCCGCGGAGGGCCCCCCCCGCGGGCCCGGCCGGCGGCTCCGCGCAATTGCGGCGAGGGGGTCCATAGGGGTGCTCCGGCCAGGATTCTTCACCATGCTTTCTTTTTTTGGCACAGTCGGACCTCAGGGCAAACATCCAGCGCGTCGAAGCAGACACGCGACGGGAGAGGTTTGGCCGGTTTCGGGCCCATGTGGGCCCTGACTGGGCCCCAGGACCTTGTAACACCTGGTCCACGGCAAGTTGTCCAGAGGTCCGGGGGTCCCGCATAGAAAATACTTAGCTCCCCGCAGATGAGGATAAGAGTGAGGGGGCGGGCGCGGGGTGGGTCGCGGGTGGGTCGCAAGCGGGTCGCGGGGCCGGTCGCGGGGCGGGTCGCGGGCGAGGACGATGACAACAACAACGCAACAACAATCAGCCCTACTTCAGCCACGCGCCAAGGGACAGTGAATGACCGTTCGGACCCCTCACTCTGGTCAAGACATCGGGAATCGGAGGTCTGGGATGCAACGGCCCGAGAAAATCAGGCTCGGTGGTGTCGGCCCCTGCAGGGGCCCTGATTCCGAGACCATCCAAAGACTGGCTCGGGAAGCGCGCTGGCCCACGGGGAAATGATTGGGACTTGAGAGCGCCCCGCGCTGGAAATCTCAAGACGTCGATGTCGAGGGGGGGGGTCCTCCAGTTCCCCTTGCATGCCACTCCCTCCCCGCCCCAGTCAGCTTCCGCCGCCCGGGGCCACGTCTAGTGTGCACAAGCCACGACCCGGGGAGGAAATGTGCTTCACCAAGCCGCTTACCAGGACCCTCGCTCACCCCCCAGGGCTTTGGGGGCGGCGGGGTCGTCGGCAGTGTGCGGGGCTCTGAAGAAGCCCGCCGCAGGCGCAGATCTTTTCACACATTGCGCAGCGAACCCGCCGCAGGCGCCGAATTTTCGTCAAAGCAATGTGGGTTGGGCGGGTAAGTCGCTGATGGGTCGCGGATGGGTCGCGGAGTGAGTCGCGGGATGGGTTAAGGGGTTGGTCGCGGGCGGGTCGCGGGCGAGGATGACGACAACAATCGCAACAACGCAACAACAACAACAACAACAGCAACAACAACACCAACAACAACAAAACAACACAACAACAACAATAACAACAACAACAACAACAACAACAACAACAACAACAACAACAATCATTTTACCCGAACGCTCAGTGTTCTCACCAGTGCCAGGGTTTTCATACGACGCCCGCCAATACCCCCACTTTGTGGGGGGGCCGGTTCAAGCTCTACCACATTTCCAAACGACTCTTCGCCACCACCCACACCCAGCTTCCCGCCCTATGACGTTCGGACACTTCACTTCGTGGCATGCGGACGACCGTGGCTACTACACTGGCGCATGGTTTCAATGACTTCTTGTGGTAACATCTTGTGGAAACTAGCTTAGTATACGACGACGACGATTTGAAGGGCCTACGGTGCGAAAAATGATTTTATGTTGCGCGGTGCTAAAATTCCTACGAAACCCAATGGTTTTTGAAGATTTCGGCGTGCGCACGGAAAGAAAAAACGAATGTGTCCCGCATGGTATTATTTGACAGGGATGATGGCCCTGGCAGGTGCGCAACCGTTGTTGGAGAAGTTCGAAGCACGTGAAGAAGTTGATCGCAAAAGCCCGTTTGACAGAAATGTTTAAAAAAGTTGGGTTTCCTGCAAATCCGCAAGAGCGCGCGGGATGAAATTGTGACACTTTAAAAAAAAAAAACCATTGGTTTTTTGATGTTTTTATGTTGAAATCGCTACGAACACTAAGGTTTTGGAAGGATTTCGTCTTGCGCGCGCGAATGTCCACTTTACCTTATTTTTTGCAAGGGATTCTTGAAGTTTGGTTATTTTAGAACAAGAAATTTCATTTTATAGTGTTTTTTGCAAGGGACAGCGGGGGGGAACAAAACAACCGGATCTTGATGACATCGTATTACCTGAGGCTTCCTCACGAAAATGATGAAAATGTAGCTGCGGCCTAGGCGCGGCGAGGGGGTCGCGCACCAGGGGTCCCAACAATAATTATTCTTTAGAATAAATAATGTTCAACAACAACAACAACAACAACACTAATGACGACGACGACGACGACGACGACGACGACGACGACGACAACGACAACGACAACGACAATCCTCCGACGACGACGACAACGACAACGACAATCCTCACTTCGGAACCCCACTTCGGCCATGCGCCCATGGACAGTGAATGACCGTTCGGCCCCCTCACTCCGACATGCGTTTAGCGGGCGGAGGGGGTGGTCCTGACGTCCTGACCCCCTTCGCACATCTTGGTCGGCGGCCGCGGGCGCCGTCCTCGAGGCCGTCGCCCAGCACATCGGGCACGCGCCAGCGCATCGGGCCCGCCGCGTGAGGAGAGGGCAGGCAGGGGGGCAGCCGCAGGGCAGAGGAGGTCCTGAGGAGGTGGTGGCGGCCACTACGTGAGGGGCACAAGGCCCGAGCAGGGCGGCGGATTTGCGCCTCCCCCCCAGCGCGGAGCCTCCCCCCCCCCTCCCTTGGAGCAGCAGCAGCAGCAGCAGCAGCAGCAGCAGCAGCAGCAGCAGCAGCAGCAGCAGCAGCAGCAGCAGCAGCAGCAGCAGCAGCGGCAGACAGTTTGGGTCCCCCTTGGAGCAGCAGCCTGACACTTCGGGCTTACACCCCTTGGCCGGGGAGGAGGAGGGAGAACGAGCAGCTCTCGCTAAGCGCGCGGCCAGCGGGCGGCGGGGGAGGGCCGCGGCCTCGGTGCCCCCGCATGGGAGTTCCCCCGGGGAGGCGCCCTGGAGCCCTCGGGGATCAACTCTGCAGGGGGTGCGGTCGGGAACCTTTCGTCCGCGTATCGCTCCGCCGAGTCTGGCCAATCCACGCTTCGACGCGACACGCTGGCCACGGCCGGTCCCCGGGCGCCAACGCCCCGGGCCTTTTCCAGCCTTCCGCCCCGCGGAGCGGAGCGACACGCCGTCCGCTTGCGGGGCACAGCGCTTGGCTCGGGGAGGGGCGCAGCGGCCCAGAAGCTCTCGTCCATCGCCGACGGGGGCCCCGGGTCTCGGGCCCCGCCCAGGAAGGCGTGCGGATGCGGCATCGGGCGCCGATCGCCGATCTGTCGGCGATGCATCGCCGATGCCGGGTGGATGTTGCCTCTGGCTCGAGGAGCTGGAGGGCTGCAGGGAGAGCGTGGCCGAACAGCCAGGCACGCATCCGGGAGAAGCTTCGAGCAGCCGTCCAGAGTCAGGCCGCCGGCGCCGTGGTCCGATTCGCTCCGTGGCGTGTCTTGGTGGCCCAGAGACTTCGGCCGTCGGTCGCCGCAGCTGTGGGCAGAACATACGATCCGCGGCGAGCAGAAGCACGACGCGAGAGAAGTGCAGCTGGCGCGAGGTTTCAGAGCGTCGAGCGAGAAAAGCAGCTGCATAAGCACAAACTCTCGCAGGTCCGAGCGGATCTCCTGGATCGGCGCTGCGGTTTCGGAGAGAACTGGCTCACGAGAGGGATGCGACGTCAGATTTTTGGCCCACCCTCGTTGCCTCTATCCGCGTGCGCGCGCGCTTTGGTCCAATCCTCGGGCGCGCGTGCGCGCCAGCGCTTCGGTATATGTTCCCTGGCATCGTTCGGGCGTGTGCGTGTTTCCTCGGCGAGGACAATCGAGGAGCATCCTGGATCATCCTTCAAAGAAGCACGCGCGAAACCGATATTACGGGGAATGGACATCCGAGCGATGGTAAGGTTCGCCGCCGCTTTTGAGGTGGAGTTCTTTGCGCCACCTGTCCCGCCCTCCCGCCCCACTCTCTCGCCCTCCGCCTCGCTGCGGCGCCGCTGCGCCTCCCTCTCTGGCTGCCGGCCGCTCTACTCGCCCCGCGCTGGGGCTCGCTGCCTGGCCCACGGAACAGGAGAGGACCATCTGGACCATTTGACCGAGCACGGTTGTGCGGGGGAGAAGGAGAGAGGGAGAGGAAGGCAGGACCCCGCACTGAGGTGTTCCGGTGCAGGCGGAACCCCGCCTCACCGCCACACCCCCGCACCGCTGCTGGCCAGTTTGCCCTCCGCAGGAGGACCAACTGCCCAGCAGCGGCGGACGGTCCACCGTCCCCTCCCTGGGGCCCTGCGGCCCTCTCGTACGCTCTCGCCAGGCAACCCAGGTCTCGCGCATCGAAGGCGGCCTGCAGGGCCCTCGGTACCCCTTCTCTACGGGGGTACTTGCCCTCCTCGATGCGGCTTATATTCTCACGGCCCTTCCTGGACATGCCCTCACACTTGGCCGCCAAATAGCGCCCATCCACTGTAGCATACTTACCACAGATGCACAGGTGGTGCAAACATTCATGAGGAACCGCTCCCACCTCTGGACAGTGTGGGAGTGGTGTACTTCCCGCCCCGCCGCCGACCCACCGCCTCCCGCCCCCACCGAACAGACAGGGAGGCCACGGCACTGGGTCTTGGCGGCCTCGATGGGGCGAGAAGCAGGCACCACAATATTGCACACGTTGCACCTCCATGCGCCTTCGCTCAGCTCGAAGCAATGGCTGGAGGCCTGCAGCGCGAGCTTCCTCCTCGACGGGGGCGCTCTCCGTTGGACCGAGGCCCGAACCCCACTCCATAGGTCGGCCTCTGACGCCAGGGCCAGTGCGCGCCTCGCGCGCGCTCGAACCAGGGTGCCGATCGCATCCCAGTGGTCAGTCTGAGGCTCGCCCCCTTCCACCGACGCCGCCCACCCTCTCCCCGCCGCAGCCCCCGCCTCTTCATCAGCCAGGGCGCTGCCCTGAATTAGGTAGAGATCGATCGGTTCGCTAGGAGAGGTGGCTTCGTCCATGTGAGAGGGGATCCACTTAAGGTTCACCTCTGTCGGCCGAGAATGGAAGGCCGCCCGAATTCGCGACCACAAATCCTGGTTGGCTCCGTCTTTCTGGAACTGCAGACCCCGCCCCCAAGCTCTCATGAGGGGCTCGTGGTCAGTCACGAACAGAATACGCATTGGGACATGCTCTAACGCGATGGCAAACGCGAGCAGATCAGAACGAGGGACCGTTTGCCGCTGGCCCCCGATTGGGGTCGATAACCCCCACGCCAACCTCCAGCCCCTTTGGCCGTCAGGCTGCATGGCGATCACCGCGGTGCCACACCTGCGCCTACGTGGGTCCGCACTGTGAGACCCCCGATCCGTCTCCGAAAACCACTACACACCCGAACGTGGTGTGCGGCCAACCTCGGAAATCGGGAGCGGCCCCAAGGGCCGAAGATTTGTCTTCAGCAAAAAATCGAGAGATGGGTGTAGCTCTTAGGCGGCACGCCTCTAAGCCACAGCACTGGACAATTTTCCCACCGCGCCTGAGCCTGCTGCCTACTACACTCGTCCTTCTCGAATTCAAAACCGGCATTGCACGGGCACTCCCAAACTCGGTGACAGAGAGTTTCTGTGCCCTGGTGGCACCTTGGGTACAACGTGTCAACCTCGTATCCTAGAGCCGCCTGCCTTTCTCGAGTGAACTGTCTGCCCGAGACTGCAGCATTCTGGAGCCCTGCCTGATCGTACGCTTCCTCAGCGAGGAACTTGCGAATTTCGCGACCAGCCAGGAGCACATCCCCGCCCCCAGGCTCCAGCCCCTCACTCTCATAATGGGAAGCAGCCTGGGTCCAAAACAGGGACGGCAAGTCCTGGACCAGGTCACTGAGCAGCTCGGTGAAATCGGCGCCCCCTTGCTCGAACCCCTCATCGCTCGTACAAGGCAGCCTCCAAACGCTCCCACTCGCGGTCGGGCGGCGCCAAGAATCTGGGGCAAACGTGATCCACCCTGCTTCATAGAGCGACGAGATCACCGCACTGACGGGGCCTCGCATTCGACTCCATCGCGATTTAGCAGGCCAGAGACGAGGGGTCAGATGCTTCCACGCCGCTCGGATACGATTGTGAAACTCTGGCGAAGATGTCCAAACTAAACAAAACTCGAGGGCCAACTGGCGCCGCAACTCGAGCCCTGGATATTTGTCCCCCGAGTGCATGGCGAGCCCGGTAGTCAGACAACGCTCAGACCCCGTTCCAGCGATAGCTTGGCCAGCCTGACGCCTAAGGGATTGAATCTGGCTCGGGCTTACGCCATGCACCTGGTGCCCGTACACAGCTTGGGGGAGGGCCCCTGTGGTCCAGAGGGACTGCGGAATCTTGGACAGTTTGGCCGAGCGCCTGAGCTTCCTGATGCGACGGACTCTCTTCGTAGCCTTAAGCCTGCACTTAGCACGGTTGAGAAACCGAACTTTGCCTATCGGCGTGTTACACCCTAGGTCCACAACTGACTTTGTTTACGAGTTGTCTCGGGCAGCCAGTGTGGCAACCTTGCCCCCAGACGCCACAAGCTGCTGAGTTTGGAGCGTTTGGGGTGCTGAATCTCGCACTTGAGGATGTGGCTGAATGTTTCAGTGAGTGTAAAAACGTGGTCGACATTTCCCAGCAGGGACCAGGCAGGTTCCTGTCGCCGAAACTACAGATCCTTGCTCACAAGGGTCTTGATGAGCAAGGAATTTCCCCGCGTGAGAGATTTGTCAGGCGAGGTAACTACTTTGCTGACTGCGGTGCCAAGATGTCTGTCCAGTGGCACCCAGCGTTCTCACAGTCCGAGATGGAACGCGTTGATCGCAAGGTTTCAATTGCCAGAGCTATTCTGGATGTCGCTGCCGCCGTCCTCCCTCTCTTTCCTCGGGTGGAGTTTCTTGAGGTGGAGCGTGTTCCTCCTCCTCCTGCCTCCAGGAAGGACCCGCACAGCTGGCAGCAGATGCCCAATTTTTGGCGATGCGCGGCGTGCTTTCGAGGAGCGGCCTGCACGGACCGCCCCGCAGGTGGAGCATGCCGAGGCCATTCTCGATTGGATTCGGTAGTTTTGGATCGGCCCCAGCAGAGGGTGATAGCGCTCGAGGCGTCAGATCACTCACACCTGTTCTTTTGCTTGAGTTGCCACTCGTACTCTTCGGGGTCCCAGGTCTGCAACATTGGGAGAAATTGTAAATCCCCGACGAGGACAGGCACTAGGAACTGGAACAAAATTCGTGAGGGTAAGCACCCAGACGAGGCTGGTGTGGTTCTGGACCTGGACGTTGTGAAACTCCTGTTCCAGGGGTAATCTTGTTATGTCCCCTGCAGTTTAGCCTCCTTCTGCAGCGAGGTTTGAGGTACCATCGACGGCAAAAGAATGGAGGAGGAGGAGGAGGAGGAGAACAAATGATGACATGGCAGAGATCTGATGTCTCCTTTTCAGGCCTCAAAGAGGGGCCCCCGCGGGGCCAGACCCTCTCCCCGGGGCCAGTCCTTCACCCCGAGCCTTCTTTTGTTGGCGGCCACGGGGGCCCGGCGGGGGCTCCCGGAAGCCGAAGATGGCCCAGGGCCTCCCGTCGTGGTTCTTCCACGACGCGGGCATGTCTCGGGGGCGGCCCAAAAAGTGGGTGATGACTAAGGGGGGGGGGTGGACATCGTGGCGTGGGCCATGATGTTTCCTCAGATTTCATGGCGTCTCTTCTTCGTTCATTGCGTCCCTGGGCCCCCCCACTGGGCCGCGCACGTACCGCCAGCCATGAATTGCGTCCCCCCCTCTTTGACGCCCCCCTCCCTGGCCGCCCCCGAATGTCTGGGATGCTTCGGTTCCCGCGGCTCTCCACGAGGCTGCCGCTCCGCGTCTCCGTGGGCGAGCTGGCCCGGCTCTGCCTCGACCGGAGCTTGGCGGACCCGCTCCAGGTGCGCGCACTGCTGCGGGGGTCGGGTCGGACGAAAGAGGGGGATTGGGAATGGGGGGGTTACGATGTTTGCTGCATGCAGCTGGTTTCGGCCCCACCGAGGGGCCCATTCCTCGATACATCGTCGCCTCTGGCGCCGGGAGGCGCCGGGAAAATCAGCTACGTGAGCTGATTCTCACCCCCCCCCTTTGCTATCCCCCCCTTTCTCCCGACCCGAGGGGGGCGGGCGCCACTCGCCACTAGCGCCCCTGGCGTCTCCGTCCCGTCCGAGCCCGCTCGGCGTCTGAGGGAGATCTGGCATCGCTCGGACGTGTGCGTTTTTTGTTGTTCTCGGCGAGGACCATCGAGGAGCATCAACAAATAGACGCACGAAGCCGAAAAAGGCAGGGGGAATGGACGTCCGAGCGATGCGATGGCAAGCTGAGGGAGAGGGCGGAGGCGGAGGGCCCAGTTACCCAGCGTATTGGAGAGGCCTTGCGGCCGGTTCCGCCGACCTTGAACGGGGGATCAGCGGACGGGGCGAGGACGAGGAGAAATCCGTTCCAGGGCGTGCCGGAACGCTCCCTCAGAGCGTTCGAGAGCATCCTCCGGAGCCACCAGATCTCAGGGATGCTCGCCTTCTCTTCACCCAGAGCGTCTTCTCGTCCTTCAGCCACGCGCAGAGAGGGCTGGGGGGAGGGGGAGGGAGGGGGAGGGCTTCTTAGAAGCACCCCTACCTCTTAGAAGGCGCGGGCCTCATCTATAGATGTAAGGCTGGCGCCTTCTAAGAAGCAGCCTCCTTCTAAGAAGCCCTCCCCCCTCCCTCCACCCCCATGTGCGCGCCGCCAAGTCCTGGCGCCGTCTTAGATCAGGAGGGAGGCCCAAGGCAGGCCGCGGACTCCTGGAGGCTCGCTGGGGTCTCGTGGAAAGCCTTTTGGGGACCTCGCGGAGGCTTTCCGTCTCGCCGCTCGCCTGCGGCGCCCCGGGGCGTTTCTGTCCCGTGCGAGCCCGCTCGGCGCCTGAAGGAGAGGGCGAGGTCTCGTCCTCCTCCTCCACCTCCTCCTCCTCCTCCTCCTCCTCCTCGATACTCCTCCTCGATCCTCCTCCTCCTCCTCGATCCTTCTCTTCTCTTCGATCCTCCTCCACTCTTCCTGAATCCGGGGGACCGAGCGCCTCCGAAGGCCCGGGCGGATTCGCTACCCACCAAAGCACCCCAACTCAACCCGAAGGCCCCAAGCTGCCCTCGATTCCCAGTGGGGGGGGGGGGGGGCGTCCCGGAATGTGGGAAGATCACAGATGGAGCCCGCACGCCCCTCAACCCGAAGTTTGGGACTTGGGGTTGGATCGAGGTGGTCTGGTAGGTGGTCACAGATGCGGTGGGAGCATTGCGCCGCATCGCCGATGCATCGGCGATGGGGCTCGACGTGGAGCCCGATGTTCTCCACACCGACGTCGCCGATGCATCGCCGAAACATCGATGACGCATCGAAGATGCGGCGCGATCCTCCGACCCCATCTACCTGGATCTCATCTAAGAGGCCTCCACCAGAGAAGAGAGTGGAGGGCCCAGACATCCAGCACATTTACAAAGGCCAGGGCGTGCAGACATGTCCCCTGGTGTCTGGGTAGTTGTTCTGCCTATGTATTATAAACGCCTGCATTACCGCCCCTTGAGAATCACGCCAGTTGTGCGCGTAATCGGAGACAATGTTAACACATCGCGCTGTTCTTATTGTGTTGCTGGGATGTCGCATCTCATTTTCCTCTTCCCCAGCCAAAGGAATCAAACACCGAGGCGGAGGTGCTTCGTCGTTTTCAGCCTTAGGCCCCAGGGCCGTCAAATGAACATTCACGAGACGATGAGAAACTCGCACAGGGGAAAGGGTCAGGATTTTCTGGGGCCCCGTGTTGAACAAATCAAGACATCGGAGGGGAGAGGAGCAGATGAGGAAGAGGTACCGATACCGCTACCCCTCCCTCGTTTCTGCCTTTTGGGCATGAGAGGCCCGCGTCGCCACGGCTGCATTCGCTTCGAAATCTTAGTCAGAACGCACCTTTGGAGAGGCACAGGGAGTAGCGGTCTAATATTGTCTGGTCTGTCCAAGAGGAGGATTCGTCCAGGCCTCGCAAACGAGGTCCGAGCAGACGGGGTCGGATGATCGCGCCGCATCGCCGATGCATTTGCGATGCGGCTCGACGTGGAGCCCGATCTTCGCCAGGCGGGCGTCGCCAATGCATCGCCGACGTCGCCGATGCATCGGCGATGCATCGGCGATGCGGTGAGATCCTTCGACGGGGGGTCTGCATCGATCCAGGAAGTCCGCGCAGACCTCTGTTGATGCACTCTTCCTCTTCCTCTAGGAGCCCGTTTTTGATCCCCTGGCGATCACGGGCGTGACCAGGGGGGAGGGAGGGACGGGGGTCGGTCACGTCACGACTCGCGCCGGCGCCGTCTGGTAGTGTTTGGGAGTGGCTACGGCGCCGGCGCGAATCGTGACGTGACCAGGAGGCGGGGGATGGGGCAGGGCCAGTCACGGGCGTTATCGCGAACGATAAAGAAGCGAGCTCCGGACACCGGGTCCCGCGGTATGCCTCCCGCAGGCGGCCTCCATTCCCCAGTGCGGCAGTGCAGATCAGCGAGCCCCCGTCCCCCAGCAGCGGAGCGCTCGTGCTCCGTCGCGGTTGTCGTCCTGCGTCGTCGTCGTCTTCGCCGTCGCCGTCGCTGTCGTCCTCAGTCGTCGTCCGCTGGCCGTCGTCCATCGTTCGTCGTTCAACCTTCGTCGTTCATCGTCGTCTCCGGCGCGCGGCATGGAGGTGGGGTGAGCCAGCCTCTGAGAAGCCTTCTTTTTGCTAGGTTCGCGCCGCGCCAGCGCAGCGGATTGCCCAGCGCTGGAGTTCAAGGCTGAACGAGCCGCGCTGCCGGAAGGCGGCCCACGTCGAACGATCCGCGGTATCGGACGGCCGCGATCACGCGAGGCTGCGTGGCCCACGCGGCGACGGAGATCTGCGCGCAGGTCGTGACGACGCGTGGCCCGAGACACCCCCCAGGGGCGTGGGGGGGGGCAATCGCGCTTCGCGCATCGCGGCTTCGGTTGGAGGGGCGCCGTTCTCAGGGGCGGCGGCGCGCGGGCACGAAGATGAACGCGCATCGTGGGGCGCGATGCGCGAAGTTTGGTGAGCCAGAGGTAGCGTTCGAGAAGGTCCCGAGCTCTTCTGCGGAGCCACCGTGTAGTCCTTGCTGCGCGCCGTCGTTTTGCGGATCTCCCCTCCTCGTCCACTTTCCGCGCGCCTCCGCCGCATCCAGGAGCACATCGTGAGCACGGCCGACCCGGACTTCGGGGTCTGCCTGTCCTGGTGGGGCTGGCGCGGACTGGGCGCTCGGGGGATGTCGTCGCTACGAAGGTAAAGAGGCCGGAGAGAAACGGGTGCTGAGGCGTTTGGGACTTTGGAGAGCTTCGCCAGCGCTCAGTGTGCCTGCGAGGGCCCAGTCCGTACTGATGCCAAACAGAAACAATGTCCAACGAACAAACGAAACGGCTGAGTCGTCTTCATGAATCTTGAACCCGCCAGCTATGCTATAGCGGTGCTCGTGCAGATGCCGTACCAGTGTTGTGGCTATATGTGTTTGGCACGACTTGTGTTGAATGACGTATTCCAGAACAAGGGCGCTGACACAGGTTTGTTTTCTTGCTGTATGTGGTTCTGCTTGGACAAGGCTACCTCACAGACGGTGCCTGGACATGTCGTGACACAGCTTTCCTGGGCAGCTTCGTTCGCAGGGGCCGATGCATGTTTTCCGATTTCGCTCCTGACTTTGGAGGCCTGGCGAAGGAGCCCCGGCCCTGTTGGCCACCACGCCCCCCCCATGGCCGAGGCCCCCTACATCGGTGGGCCCTCGTGGCCTCCCACCGTGCACCCCCCCTCCTGGGGCCCCCCTCTCCGAGGCATTGTGTGAAGTTGCTTCGGGGCTTGTGCCGCCAGGGTGCCGTGTCTGTTGGGCTGCGCGGATCGTTCCAGCACTTGTAGTATACGAAGACGTCCTGCTCGCAGAAGAGGCATCTGCAATGGTATGTGCATTCTTTTTCTGTGTATACGTCATCGTGCCAATCATGCGCGTTACAGTTCGCATTGTATGCCGACGTGCGTATTCGCGCTGTTTGCACCCGCTGTCCGAGCAGTGTGCTACACGACGCTAACGGAGGTGGCCTCCTGCGTGTCCCAGAGGTCGCCAATTTGGCAAATATTCAACCGTGTTGTAGTCGCGCGCAGCTGCACTGCTTCTGATGTTTAGAGCCCTCGCAAAGGACAATGCCTCCCCTCCATAAAGCGCAGCCATGTAGTGGTCATGAAGCCAGTTGTTGTTGCGCAATGCCTTGCATCGCATTGGAAAGTGGAGGCGCCAACGCGTGGCAGGAAATTTTGATCTATGCAGTGCAGCGTGGAGAGTGCTGACTTCTGCCACTTAAGTAGTTGGACAAATCGGCCGAGGATTGTCCACGTTACCGCCCCGTGCCGGCTCGTAAGCACTCGCGGGCGCCCCGTGCGCTGAGTGAGTCGGTCGAGGTTGCGGCATGTTGCCACCCGTCCCGCCTCGTGGGCGCCTCGTGCGCTTGGTGGGTCGGTCAAGGTTGCGCGACGTTGCCACCCATGGGCGCTCGTGGGCGATTACGCCACGTAGCGCACGCCACATAACTGTCACTTCCAGCTCACACTGCACAGCTTACACAAGGTAGCGTACACCTCATAGCTTACACCGCATAGAGTTTTCACTTCCAGCTCACACCACACCGATTCTCCTATCTAAAAAGAGAATAGACTCTACCCCAAGCCCCGGACTTATCGGCCCTCCCTGGGATAGTATGATTTCATATATATATATATATATTCTGCACACTCGTCCATCCTAAATATGAAATCATACCATCCCAGGCAGGCCGGTTTCCCCCCCTGAGGGTCCCTTGTAATTACGCTACCGAGGAACCCCACATACTTAACGTAAATATTGAGTGTTTGCTTAAGTTTATAATCTATGTGCAATTCTGCGTTCTCAGTCCTCGTCGCGAATGTTCCCCTATGTGTCATCCAACGCCATCTTGCTTGAACCTCCTCCCTCTTCCTAGTCCCTTGTAATTACGCTACCGAGGAACCCCACATACTTAACGTAAATATTGAGTGTTTGCTTAAGTTTATAATCTATGTGCAATTCTGCGTTCTCAGTCCTCGTCGCGAATGTTCCCCTATGTGTCATCCAACGCCATCTTGCTTGAACCTCCTCCCTCTTCCTAGCCTTCTATCCTCCGTCGAGGACAGATTCGAGCCAGCCAGCGGCCGCGGTGAGGGACCACCCCCTGCGCACCCCCAGTGGTATCGAGAAAATGCCGCGCCTGCTATGCCCTGGACGACCGTCGTGCATAGCGGCCGCGGTGAGGGACCACCCCCTGCGCAGCCTCTATGGTGTCGAGAAAGTGCCACGCCTGCTATGCCCTGGACGACCGTCGTGCATAGCGGCCGCGCTGAGGGACCACCCTCTGCGCACCCCCTGTGGTGTCGAGAAAGTGCCATTCCTGCCACGATCTGCGAGCGTGTCACGGATAGAGGCCGCGCTGAGGGACCACCCTGTGCGCACCCCCTGTGGTGTCGAGAAAGTGCCACTCCTGCCACGTGTCACGGATAGAGGCCGCGCTGAGGGACCACCCTGTGCGCACCCCCTGTGGTGTCGAGCAAGTGCCACTCATGCCACGATCTGCGAGCGTGTCACGGATAGAGGCCGCGCTGAGGGACCACCCTCTGCGCACCCCCTGTGGTGTCGAGAAAGTGCCACTCCTGCCACGATCTGCGAGCGTGTCACGGATAGAGGCCGCGCTGAGGGACCACCCTCTGCGCACCCCCTGTGGTGTCGAGAAAGTGCCACTCCTGCCACGATCTGCGAGCGTGTCACGGATAGAGGCCGCGCTGAGGGACCACCCTCTGCGCACCCCCTGTGGTGTCGAGAAAGTGCCACTCCTGCCACGATCTGCGAGCGTGTCACGGATAGAGGCCGCGCTGAGGGACCACCCTCTGCGCACCCCCTGTGGCGTCGAGAAAGTGCCACTCCTGCCACGATTTGCGAGCGTGTCACGGATAGAGGCCGCGCTGAGGGACCACCCTCTGCGCACCCCCTTTGGTGTCGAGACAGTGCCACTCTTGCCACGATCTGCGAGCGTGTCACGGATAGAGGCTGCGCTGAGGGACCACCCTCTGCGCACCCCCTGCGGCTTCGAGAAAATGCCACTCTTGCCACGATCTGCGACCGTGTCACGGATAGAGGCCGCGCTGAGGGACCACCCTTTGCGCACCCCCTGTGGTGTCGAGAAAGTGCTACGCCTGCCACGATCTGCGAGCGTGTCACGGATAGAGGCCGCGCTGAGGGACCACTCTTTGCGCACCCCCACCCCCTGTGGCGTCGAAGGAATGCCCTGTGTGGTATGCTGTGCTGTGCTGTGCTGTGCTGCTGTGCGGTGAGCTGTGCTGTGCCGTGCCGTGCCGTGCCGTGCTGTGCTGTGCTGTGTTGTGCGAGAAGGAGAAGGGGAGGGGGGAGGTGTGAGACGCGGGTGCGGCGCGGCAGGGAAGAAAACCATAACCCCACGAAACATGTGAGAAAAACACACTCTGCGGTGACATGTTTTGTTCTAACATAGCACTGTTTCACGAATCCCTTGCAACAAATTGTACGAAGTGCACACGCGCGCGTCGTCGCGCGCGCATGCCGAATTCCTTCAAAAACCTTCGGTTCCAGAGAGACTTCAAAATTGTATTTCCAAAAAAACATACAAAACCACATGGCTTCGCAACACTGATTTGCTAAAAAAGCTTACGCGCGAGCTCTTGCGAAATCTTAAGAAAATCACAGGTTTTCCAAGTTTTTTTTACAACATGCTACCAAACGGGCTTCGCGCGCGCATGTCGAAATCTGTCGAACGCCCTTGCGCGTGTGCCGTCGCGAGAATCCTCTGCAAAGAATACGACGAAGTGCAGGCGCGCGCGTCGTCGCGGGCGTATGCCGAAATCCTTCAAAAACCAGCGGTTTCGGAAGGATTTCGAAATCGTGCGTCCAAAAAACCTACAAAAACACAAGGTTTCGCAACACGGGTTTTCAACAAAAGTGTGCGCGCGCGCTCTTGCGTCGTCGTCGTCGTCGTCCTCCTCCTCCCTCCTCCCTCGTCGTCGTCGTCGTCGTCGCCGTCGTCGTCTTCTGTCGTTCCTCGTCGTCGTCGTCGTCGTCGTCTTGGCGTCGTCGTCGCTTCCGTCGTCGTTGTCGCCGTGGTCGTCCTTCCTCCCTCGTTGTCTTCGTCGGCGTCTCGTCGTTGTCCCTCCTGTTTTGTCGTCGTCGCCGTCGTCGTCGTGGTCTTCACTCCCCCCTCGTCGTTATCCTCCTCCCTCGTCGTCGTCGTCCGTCGTCGGCGTCTCGTCGTCGTCCCTCCTATTTCGTCGCCGTCGTCGTCGTCTTCGTCGTCGTTGTCGTCGTCGTCGTCTTCCCTTCTCCCTCGTTGTCGTCGTCGGCGTCGCCGTCCTTCCTCCTTCTTCGTCGTTGGCGTCGTCGCCGTCTTAGCTCCTCCATCGTCGTTGTCGTCGTTGTCGCCGTCGTCGTTTTTTCTCCTCCCTCGTCGTCGTCTCCGTTGGCGACGTCGTCGTCGTCTTCGTCGTCGTCTTCGTCGTCGTCGTCGGTGTCGTCGTCGTCGTTGTCGTCGTCGAAAACATTGGAGACGTCGTCGGTGTCGTCGCAGTCGCTGTCGGCGGCGCCGTCGTCGTCGATGTCGCTGTCGTCGTCGGCGTCGGTGTCGTGGCCAAGTGCCATGTAGTACCTACCGTCACGTTCTTGTCTGAAGATGTCTTGCGACCAAGTTGCGGGTGGGAGGGTGAGATGTTTGCACGAGCAGTGGAGAGGACAGTTTCAAGACGGTCAAGATTAATTACAAGACATAGTTTGCACCATGCAGCTTGCACCGCACAGCTTTCACCCTCACAGCGCGCACCACATAGCTTACACCACATTGCTTACACCGCATAGCTCTCACCTCACAGTGAAGTTTAAAGCACTGTTTGTGGACTCCACGCTGGCTAACATTTGATGGCCCCGTGGCCCGAGCGAACGGCCGCAGAGGGCTGACATGAAGGGGAACGCCGCGATGGAACAGATCAGATCGTCGGAGGTCTGGGAATCGCTGGACCCCTGCCCCCAGAAGCGCGGCCTCCCTTGCGGGGGCTGCAGGGCGACGCCGAGCCCACCGCCGTGGACCGCCCGGTCCGGACACCAGGCGCCACCGCCGTCGGCTGGCGTCAGCGCCGTCGTCGTCGTCGTCGTCGTCGTCGTCGTTGTCGCCGTCGTCGTCGTCGTCGTCGTCGTCGTCGTCGTCGTCGTCGCCGTCGTCGTCGTCGTCGTCGTCGTTGTCGTCGTGGTCGTCGTCCTCCTCGTCCTCGTCGTCGTCCTCGTCGTCGTCGTCGTTGTCGTCGTGGTCGTCGTCCTCCTCGTCCTCGTCGTCGTCCTCGTCGTCGTCGTCCTCGTCGTCCTCGTCGTCCTCGTCTTCTCTTGCCGTCTGTGGTCGGTCGCCGTTGCCATCAGTCGTCGTCGCCGACGCCGCCGCCACTGCCGTCGCCGTCCGTTGCCGCTGTCCGTCGTTGTCGTCGTTGTTTGTCGTTGTCCGTCGTCGTCGTTCTCGTCATCGTATGGGTGTCGTCGTCGTCGTCGTCGTGTCCGTCGCCGTCCGCCGATGTCGTCGTTGTCGCCGTATCTTCCACCGAGCTCACTCCACGATTACCCTTGACCTACGTGTTCGCTTGGTCCTGCTCCTCCCCCTTTCCGTCCTCATCGTCCATATCTTTATGTGTGGAGCACGTGGGTGAAGATTTGCGGGGTCATTCTCACCAGATGTTGTATCTTGCCCTCGTCCTATCCTCCCCCTCCTCTTCTCCTCTGGGATGATCGCTTCTGATTTCGTTCGTTTCGCTGGCATGAATGGGGTTACCGTAGAAGCGGTTAGCGCAGCCAGCATGCTATCTTCTGCAGTACTTCGGCGTCCCGAAATGCCGAGTCGTCCCCCGTCGCGGTCGAGAATTGTCGGTCTCGTTTCCAGTGTTTTTGAATAATGAGTTCTCAGATGTCCAGTCGAATTTCATCATGGGTGCGCGCTGGGCATCCCCACCACACGCCGATGTCCCTGCGACACGCACGACTGGCCCGCTGTTTTCCGGCGACCCGCTTGCAACCCGCCCGAAGCCTGAGTTCGTTTCGAGCGAGTCGCATTCAATTCTTGATGCACCGCCGCATGCGACGCAATAGTTGTCCCTCACGTGCACAGTGTGGCCGGTGTGTCGATATTTGTGCTCAGTCGATTTACCAGAAGTTGAGCGCTTGCAGTTGATAGGGCTATTCCACGCAGTTTGACTGCTTTTTGCCATCTGGAATATGTACTGTGCAGGGGGTTACTGTGAGTCTCTCGGTGCTGGGTCGTGGCGCGCAATCCTTTCTGCCTCCGGCCGTGGAGCCATGAATGGAGCTTCGCCTCTTCAACCGCTCCTTTCTGCCGCTGGGCTTCTTCGCCCGGCACATCACTCGATGCAGCTTGTCGGCCCCGGTCAAAAGACTGGTGCCTGCAGCAGGGTGCGCCACGGCCAGCCAGCAGAACTACCTCTGTTGCCGAATCACCCAGTCAGTAGAAGGGTGCCAGTCACGAGAAGAACTTCAATGCCGATCAGTCAGGCTTCGGGCTGACACAGCAGTGAGGTAGTACGGCGCACCGTGGCACTGCGCTCCTCCGCCGCGGCGCACGAGCGAGCGTCGCCGGCCTAGCTGGGCCGCCATGACGAATAAGCAACACACAGACACACACACACGTACC